ACAGCAACCTCAAACTCCTGGGCTCAAGCGATCCTCCTGCCTCAGCCTCCCAAGTAGCTGGGACTACAGGCATGCACCACCATGCCCAGCTAATTATTTCTATATATTTTTAGTTGTCCAGCTAATTTCTTTCTATTTTTAGTAGAGATGGGGTCTCATTCTTGCTCAGGCTGGTCTCGAATTCTTGACCTCGAGCGATCCGCCCTCTTCGGCCTCCCAGAGTGCTGGGATTACAGGCGTGAGCCACTGGGCCCGGCCTGACCTGTAAATTTTTTTTAAAAAATTTTTTGTAGCGTCTTGTTGCCCAGTCTGGTTTGAAACTCTTGGCCTCAAGTGATCCTCCTGCCTTGGGCCACCAAAGCGTAGGCCTGGCAAGCTTCACATATTTTTTGCAGAAATGTTATGGTATTTGATGACCAGCTATTACTCAACATATGGGATGTTCACTGTCCTCAAATCTGGAAAATTCGGACACACATCTGGCTCCAAAGGTTTCAGCTAAGGGAGTGCTTCTGCTGAGGGTTGAAGGAGAGGGTCTTGCATAAGGCAGGCACTCAGTAAACAGAAGCTGAGATCACCAGCCGACCCCTCCTCCCAGACAGACCATCTGCCTGTGTGTGTCTCTCTCTATCTCTCCCTGAGGGACGGTGCAGGGTCTGGCAGGGTCCTCCCTGGGGATGAGGGCAAGGCACGTTGCTTCTTGTCTGGTCACCCCTCACCTTACCATGTACCCTCAGAGATGACCAAGAGGGATGTGCCCGGCTTCGCCATCGGTGGCCTGAGCGGTGGGGAGAGCAAGGCCCAGTTCTGGAAGATGGTGGCTCTGAGCACCTCCCGGCTGCCTAAGGACAAGCCCCGATACCTGATGGGGGTCGGGTACGTTAAAAGGGAGACAGAGCCTTGCCTGTGGGGAGCAGATTCCTGGGGAACCCCTGCCCTGCTCGGAGAGGAGACTAAGGAGCGCTTGGCTGTCCCCTGGGGGCAGTCCTGAGGCAAAGTGGCCCAGTCCAGGGGAGTTGATGTTGGGAGGGGGCCTGGGAAGCTGGGGCCCAGGGCTAGAGGCTCTCTGCTCCCCTCCCCAGCTATGCCACGGATCTGGTGGTCTGCGTGGCTCTTGGATGCGACATGTTTGACTGTGTCTTCCCCACGCGGACTGCGGTGAGGCCCTGGGCGGGGGCAGAGAGGGCGATAGGGTTGGGGGATAGGGGTTGGGGGGTTAAGGTAGGGGTGGGGTTGGGGAGAGTGGAGACCTGCCTGACTGGCCTTCCCCTCCTCCCCTAGCGCTTTGGCTCCGCCCTGGTGCCCACCGGGAACCTGCAGTTGAAGAAGAAGCTGTTTGAGAAGGACTTCGGCCCCATAGACCCCGAGTGTACCTGCCCGACCTGCCAGAAGTAGGCAGGATGGCGGTGGGGGCGCTGAGGAGGGGAGAGGGTGTGGAGGGGCACAGGGCGGGCTCCGCTGAGTTGCGGCGCCGTCCTCGTCCGCAGGCACAGCCGGGCGTTCCTGCACGCACTGCTGCACAGCGACAACACAGCCGCCCTGCACCACCTCACTGTGCACAACATCGCCTACCAGGTGGGCCAGTGCCCCGGGGCAGGGAAGGGGTGGTCAGGGGCCTCCCTGGTGCCAGTTGCTGATGCTGACACCCTCTCCCTGCAGCTGCAGCTGATGAGCGCCATGCGCGCCAGCATCGTGGAGAAGCGCTTCCCTGAGTTCGTGCGCAACTTCATGGGCACCATGTACGGGGACCCCACCCTCTGTCCCACCTGGGCCACCGAAGCCCTGGCTTCTGTGGGAATCACACTGGACTGATCTGGCATCGGGGAAGGGAGGAAGGGGCTGGAGCATACCGAACGGTTTTTTTTTTTTTTTGGAAGGTTTTTTTATTCTAACTTAAAGAGTGTGTCTGTGTCTTCTTGCTGAGGTGGTTTGTCTTGGTCCCCTACCTGGTCTCAGCGTCACTGTGCCTGGGTAGCTCCCCTTCTGACTGATAATGACAAACAAGCATGGTGGCAGCTGGGGACTAGAAACGACTGAGCACAGCCCAGCATGTAGGATTTGCCCCCAGAGTGGGAGCTGCATCCCTTTTCCTGTGGCCCAGGTCCTCCTGCCACCCTGGAGGTGGCTACTGCTGTCATCCCCATTTTTGCAGGTGAAGAAACAGGCCGGGGATGGGAAGTAGCTTGCTCAAGGTCATTACCATCGAGGAGTGATGGCTAGGCTTTAGTGCTCACACTCTTACCCTTGACTCTGCAAATATGTGGCCCAATCTCACTCCCCGTAAACACAGTGACAATAGGTGTGATCTAGCAGGTGCCCCCACTGTGCCTGGCACTGTTCTAAGTGGCTGTCATGTGTATTTAATGTTTATGTTATATGTGTATTTAATATTTATGTTCCCACTTTATAGAGAAGGACACTGAGGTTCAGAAGAATGAAGTCATTTGGTCATTATCACTGTCTTAGTCTGTTCAGGCTACTATAACAAAATACCATAAACTGGGTGGCTTATAAACAACAGAAATTGGCCTGGTGTGGTTTAATCCCAGTACTCTGGGAGACTGAGGCAGGAGGATTGCTTAAGGCTAGGAGTTCAAGACCAGCTTGGCCAACAGAGATCTCATCTCTACAAAAATATTAAAAAAACAATCAGCCAGGTGTGGTGGCTTGGGTCTATAGTCCCAACTACTCACAAGACTGAGGCAGGAGGATCGCTTGAGCCCAGGACTTCAAGGCTGCAGTGAGCTATGATGATGCCACTGCAGTGCAGCCTGGGCAACAAAGCAAGACCCCGTCTCTATAAAAGTAAAATCAGCAGAAATTTATTTCTTACAGTTCTGGAGCCTGGGAGAGTCAGAGCTAAGTGCCAGTCAGAGCTAATCAGTGTCTGGCTAGGACCTGCGTCCTAGATGGCCATGTTTTCTCTGTAACCTCAGATGGTCGAAGGGGCAAGTCAGCTCTCTGGGGTCTCTTTTACAAGAGCCTGAATGCCATTCATGGGGGCTCTGCTCTTATGACCTAATCACCTCCGGACTGCTCCCACCTCCAGATAACATAATATTGGCAACATATGAGGCCTGGGGAGTCACAAGCAGTCAGACCACAGCAATCACCCAGTAAATAAACAGGCCCAGGATCTAACTGAGATCATTTTTTCTATTAATGCTAACACTTTGGGGGGCCGAGGTGGGAGGATCTCCTGAGTTCAGAAATTCTAGATTAGCCTGGGCAACACAGGCCCCATCTCTAGAAAGAGTACGAAACATTATTAGCTGAGTGTAGTGGCGCCGGGTTGTAGTCCCACCTACTCAGGAGGCTGAGGCAGGAGGATAGAGGCTGCAGTGAGCTATGATCGTTCCACTGCACTCCAGCCTGGAGGACAGAGTGAAATGCTGTCTTTTAAAAAAAGAAAAAAAAAAAAGTCCATGGTGCTCTAAAGATGAAGAAGCGGCACGTGAGCAGAAAGGGCTAAGCATTTGCCAAGGCGTGGAGGCGTGACTTTAGTGGGTTCTCTCCCTGGGAAACCCTAGCATCGCCTCATCCCCTCTGCAAAGCGCATTGCGCCCCTGCTCCCAGAGCTGGTTTGCGGGCCGGGAGCAAAGATGCATTCTGGGACTTGTAGTTTTCTCCAGAGCCCGGAAACTCAGAAGTGGCGATTACCGGGTCCCACCACGAGGTGTCGCCCTTCGGCGAGTACTGTGGGTCTTTTCCTGCACTTCGGAAGTCTGTTGAAGACATCCTACAATCACAGGGAAGAACGGGACTTTCTGGGATTGACAGATACAATTTTCAATCAGAGTCAAGATTCTGATGTTAAAACCCGCCCTCTTTTGCCTTGTTGGCTGAAGGAACGAAGTGATATTTATATAAGCCAATGGGAAATTCTTAGGGAACTAGGTAGTGTCAAGTGACAAATCAATGTGTAAAGATTGATTCCTAACACCATTGGCCAACTTTTTCGACTGGTGGGTCTTCCAGCCAATGAGACAGTCGGACTCAGCCAATGGGCGGAACCAATATGCCTTTTCCCGAAACACCGCCTACCGGCGTTGACAAATCGTTATCCGCAGCTATTGGTTCTTGCACAACAGTGACGGTTCTTTCGTCCAATGAGCCCGTGAGACGGTCCCCAGCGGGAAGGCTTACTCAGCCGGAGGCCCGTGCTTCGCTTTCATTGGTTCATGTCTCTGAGTGGCTGTGCCGTCGGTCAATCGGAGGCGGCACGAGGGCTTTGGGCGCAGCCCCGGGCCCGGGGCGGGAGGTCGCTCGGGTCGGGTGTCGCCTGAGAACCGGATGAGGCGGCGACCGTGAGGCCGAGCCGGGAGCGGGCGTCGCGCCGAGGCCCGGGCGGGCGTGGAGCAACGGCCATAGACGCCGGGGGGTCGGGTCGTTGAGGGTCGGGAGCGGGCGGGGAGCGCGGGGCGCTCGGGCCGGGAGCTGCCGGCGCCATGGGCAACCGCGGGATGGAAGAGCTGATCCCGCTGGTCAACAAGCTGCAGGACGCCTTCAGTTCCATCGGCCAGAGCTGCCACCTGGACCTGCCGCAGATCGCTGTGGTGGGCGGCCAGAGCGCCGGCAAGAGCTCGGTGCTGGAGAACTTCGTGGGCCGGTGAGCGAGCGCGCCGGGGACCGCGGGCGGGCGGGCGGCGGCCTAGGGCGCGGAGGGCGGACCGGGAATGGCGCGCCCTGCGCCGCCGGCGTAACTGCGGCGCTTGCGTGCCCGCGACGGGGACGGGGACAGGGAGGCGGGTCCTGCGGCTCACCCCGGGCGGAGGTCGCCCTGCAGGGGCTGGGAGCCGGCCGAGGCCCCAGGCGCGGTCTCACAGGCCGGGAGCCGTGGGACAAGAGGTGCAGTGGACTCTTGCCGTCTGTCTGGTCCCAGCTTTTGTGCGTGAACTGTGCCATCTGGTCGCTTGTGGGTCAGGGGTAGATTCACCTTCTTCTCTGTCTGGGTGTCTCTTGTGGTGAAACTTGCTGCCTAGGTATTTATCGGGACGACCCCTGCAGTCTGGCTGGCTGTTCATTTATCTGGAGCAGCCTCCGCCCCCTGGTTGGCTGTGTCTGTGTCCTGGGCAGGTACCCTCCGCCCCACCATTTGGCTGTCCATCTGTCCTGTCCCACCTGGCGACCCCCTGCTGTCTGGCTAGTTGTCTAGGGTGACCTCTGCTGTTTGGCCGCCCATCCATGCCTCTCACAGACTTAAGCACTTAGCAGTCTCACTGTAGGGGGTGGCCCCAACTGGCCTCCACTGTCTGAGTGGCTGGCTGGACCCTAGGAGACCCTGTTGTCCAGTCTCGCAGGCTGAGTCTTCAGCTTGGTGAACGCTGGTTCCTTTCTTCCAAGTGAATCCTTCTGTTTGTCTGTCTATCCCACTTGGTGTCTGTCCCTCTCCTAGTCTGCCTGTCGCTGCCTTTGACTGTCTGGCCCAGCCCTTCTGGCAGGGAGTGGGGAGAAGGTGGAGGGGAGAAGGGAGCTTAAGGATAAAGCTTGAACCCCTCCTTTCCCTCCCAGTTGGAAGTAGAACCCTGGAGAGAACTTTCTCTAGGATTCTTTCCTGGTCCATGTCAAGGTGCTCCAGGGAACGCAGGGGCCAGCCCCCAGCTACAGCCTGCAAATCACAGGCCTTCCTTGCAGCCTGGGAAGGGGCTTCTTGCCCGATCAGGCCTCAGTGGCAAGGACTGGAATGTAGCCTTCCCTGGGAAGCCCTGAGTAGCCTCAGTGTGCCCACCTGTCCGGTGGGCAAATTCCACTCCCTGGGCTGTTTCCAGGATTCAGGAAGCAATTGAATGAGAAGTCCTCCCCTCCCCACTGGCCTTTCCATCTCCCAGATGGGCGGCTACTTCTGCGTTCCAGGAAGTACTCCATTTGTGAAGGTGTGGCTGCCAGATGATAACCTCCTCCTCCTCCTTGTCATCATTGTTATTGTTATTATTGCTGGTATCAGTGCTAAGGGCTCATGTTAGTCCAGCCGGCCCCACACTGGGTTCTTTCTTGGTTGGGCATCTTGAATCCCACGGTGAACGAGTAGGGTGGAGGTTCTGTTATCATCCCTATCTTCGAGATGAGCTGGAAGGACTCACTGTTCACCCAAGGCCACCAGGCTGGCACAGCGCAGAGCCCGGCTGGATGCCCAGCCCTGCCCCTGCTGTCCAGAGCTCTGGGGCTTTGCTCCCAGGGGACGTGAATTTCCTTCTTTGCTGCTTTGTCTCTGGCACATTGCCGTCTGTCTGCTGTGGCGGAAAGGTGTGGACTTGGGGTCACCCAGGGCTGGCCTGTCTCAGGCTGGGCTGGGAGCCCCTCTGAGTGGCAATCTTCCTTCCTGCCCAGCCTTCTGGTGGGGGCATCTGCAAAGCTCTGTTTTATTTGCCTTGTGATCTTGCACAGGTTAGTGTCTCCAAGCCTCAGTTTCCCCTTCTAAAAATGGGGCAATGATCCCTCAACAAGACTGTTACAAGGATGCAGCGACATGGTGCCATTGAAATGCTTGCTTAGCACAGCGCCTGGCACAAGTACTTTCACTTTAGCGTGATGAGGGTGGCATTGCTATGATCCCCGTTTTACAGACTGGGAAACCGAGGCTCAGAGAGCTGAACAGAGCGCTCTTGGCTGTTAGTGAGGAATTGGGGGCCCTGGGTTGGGAACACAGGTCTCCCTCCCATCCCCACCTCTCCTCATTCCCTCTGCCCATCGCTTTTCCCTCCTGCCCACCCTGGCATCTGGGGGCTGCCAGCTACTACCGAGCTGGCTCCTGTGGCAACCTTATAGAATTTGCTTGTTAAAAGCATTAATTCAATGCCTCACTTGGAATCCCACTCGCTACTTCCTTGTGAATTTGGCCAAACTGAGCCAAGAACATGCTTCCTCCCTGGCACTGGGGATGTGTACCGTGAGCATCTTGGCTGACTGCCAGGTGTGAACGGGAGAGTGTGTCAAGGGCCTGTGGCCAGGCCAGGCACCTGGGGTGTCTACACAGGCTGCTTCGTGTCATTGTCATTGCCCCCTCCTTGCGGATTTTCTAAGAACGTGAACCGAATGGGAATGGCTCAGTTAGCTCAGCCCTGTACAGTTCTGTGGTTGTGTGTGTGTGTGTGTGTGTGTGTGTGTTGGGGGGGTTTGCAGATTGCTGGCCCCGGGGGCTGCCTGCCTGCCGGGTCTTTTGTTTCACCTGCGTTACATTTAGAAACCTGTTTTTAATGAGCTGCCAATGTTTAAAAATTAGGTTTCACATCAAAATCCAGATTTCCGTGGTGCTAGAATGCACCCAGGTCTTTGGAGTTTAGTTGTGGAGCACACAGGCCCTGAGCCCAAGGCCTGGCTCCACCGTGGTTGACTGTGTGACTTTGGCTCTCTGGGCCTCAGGTTCCTTTCCTGGAAGATGGGGGTGATCACTGGACACCCCCCGCCCGGGGACTGGATGAGTGAGTATATCCTGAGTGCCTGGGTCCTGCACCGGTGACCACTGCTGTTAGAAGCACCATCTGGCCAAGCGGGGCCCACATGCCTCATGGCACCAACCACTTGGATTTCAGAAGCCGCAGCCACTGTCCTGGCAGACTAGGAGTGGTCGCTTGAGCTGCCAGTCACCACCACTCCCTAGCACCACCCAGGCCCAGCTGACATTTGCTTGGAGCCTCATGCCCCCGGAAACCTTTGAGTTTGACGTCCCTGGTTTATCTGCCCTGTCCCAGCAGATAGACTCGAAGCCCTAAGGAGAAGGGCATGGCTCCCTCTTGACACTTGTCATTCAACCTCAGGAGCTGGCACGAGGGAAGAGCTTGGGAGGGGCTTAGGAATTCCCCAGCCCTCCCAGCCCCACATCTAGAGAAGAGCGGGAAGACCTGGGGCCCCCAGCTCACACCGCACACGCTGGCTTCAGTCTTGTGAGGTTCCCCTCTATGAGGTTCAATTTCCTCAGCGAGGAAACCTGGCTGTTAACACAGCAGATAGGATCTCTTCCAACTCGTAGGGCTGATAAAGCCGCCTGGTGCCTTGTCACTGCATGCTTGTGAGATCTTGGGCCAGGGACTTCGTCCCTCCTGTTCAAAATGGAAATTGTACCAGCACTTCTTTCTTAGGATTGAATAGGGATTCAGTGAGACCATTTGCAGCGCTGGGGACAGTGCGAAGCATAGAAAAAGCACTCAAAACATCGGGTATTGTTCATTTGTTCATTGAAAACTGTTTTCTGAGCACTTTTCCTGTGTGCCTAGGGACGTGGCCCTGAGCAAGTTACCAAAACCCCTGCCCCGGGGGAGCTGGCCTTTCCACAGGGGCAGATAAAGGAGAAATACGGCAGAAGGTGACAAGTATGATGGAAAAAAAGGTTAAAGGAATATGATATGGGATAGCTCCTCGTGGGGAACACTACATTTTGTTTGTGGGTTTTTGTTTTTTTTTTTTGAGATAAGGTCTCGCTCTGTCGCCTGAGTAGAGTGCAGTGGTGTCATCATAGCTCATTGCAGCCTCAAACTCCTGGGCTCGAGCGATCCTCCTGCCTCAGCCTCCTGAGTAGCTGGGACTACAGGCACGTGCCACCATGCCTGGCTAATTTTTCTAATTTTTGGAGAAATGAGGGTCTCACTCTTGCTCAGGCTGGTCTGGAACCAGGGAGATGTGGGTCATCCTCAGAGGCACTGCCTGCTCCTTGGTGGGCACCAGACCAATGCGTGTCAGATGACTCTTGGCTCACGTCCTTGCTAGACCGAGAGTCACGTGATCTGCCCCCTGGGCTGGTTTGGCCCTTAACAGATCTTAGGAGTTTAGAGCCACTTGGAAATGATGGCTTCTGTTTGCATTTGGGCAGAAGCAAATTCCACCTTGGAAGTGCCGTGGAAGGTTCTGCCCAGGTGGTCTGTAGTACTTGGGCCAGCAGGGACAGGAAGATTCCAGAAATGTCTGTGGGAATGTGGCTGTTTCTGGTGCTGCCACACACCAAATGAGTGACCTCACTTCTCTCGGCCTCAGTTTCCTCCTCTGGAAATGGCATCACGACCGTCTCTACCTCGTGAACTGAGAATCACATGTGCAAATCTTCGTGAAATGGGTGACTTTTGTGATTTAGATGGTTGGCTCTATCTTCCTTTAGCCTGGATCGGAACTCTGATGATTGTTAATTTCTTTTTCCTTAAAGAAAGGGAACTCATCACTACTTTGGTCTTGTAAGTGACACTTCATGTCGCGTGCACACATAACACACACGCGTAACTGGAGTGTGTACAGCCACGGTCAGGACGCTGACGCACATCCTGTTCCCCAGATCTTAAAAGGTTGGCTGGAGGCTGTTCCTGGTTCATTTTTAAACGGGAATTGTGGCTGCAAACAAATAATTTGGCCGTGAGAGATATTTACACCCATTTTGCGTATGGCGGTGGGAAACTGGGAGCAAAGACGTCCAACAAAAGGGGATTTGGCCAGACAAACAGTGCGTCCAGACAACCGACTGTGGAATAGCTACTGGGAGGGATCTAGAAGAATATTTAATGACCCAGAAAGCTGAGTAAGACCTGTTAGGTGCCAGACTGAATGGGCCATGTGATCCCATCTTCTTTCTTTTTTTTTTTTTTTTAAAGTTGCATTTCCTTAGTCAAAAGCCCGGAAAGATGTACACCA